GTGTCAATAATAAAGTTAAGAAATACAACATGATTTTACACATGAATACCTGATACGTAAATGACAATGGAATCAGAAGTAGTTTTAAAACAAGGAGCTGCTGCGCTGCAAGGACCAAAAGAGAGCAGATGAGAGAGGTGGGAGTGGGGGGGGAGAGGGGCAGACAGGACCCAGGGCTGTGCCAAATGAAAAGAGGATCAGTGCTGGTTTTGGATGAGTGTCAGAGGAGCGCTCGCTGTGGTTTAAGCCTCTAGTTTGGACTGTTCACACACAGGTGTACCGAGGCACCAGGTGTGCTCTTTGAACTGGTTGAAATCATAATCTATATGGTTTATTTGATAGTTAACTGAACGGCCAGAAAAATAAAGATGAGTAAATGATTAAAATCTATTCTTGTCCATGACTTATTAAGTATGTGTTAATATGTATACTTACCATGCTGTCCTGTATAGCATGGAAATTGTAAGATACACTTTAAGTTTGTATCTCATTTGACCCATCTTTAACAACTAACTTATCAAGTCTTAAATCTGAAAGACTCAATAGAGTTTTACGAACTGAACCTAGAACCCAGAATAGAGTCATTTTATAATGAATGAGGGTATAAGGTGACATATATGCTTATAATATATGTTCTTGAGATAGCAAGAACTGGATGACTGAGGGACTACGCAGATATCTTATGGTCTTGGGAACAACTTATGTGCATCTACCAGCTCGTTCCAGGCCTGATACCCTGTATTCTGTTTACAATTCTTGTGATACATCACTGACTTTTGTGATGGGATTGGGACAAAGAGACATACAGTTACAGCCTCACATCATACTTCAATTGTCAAACATCAGATTTTCAAATATCATTGTACGAAGCTTCTCTCACTCACTAAAACCCTGTGACCTGCTTCATCCCAGTCCTTCGATGTGGCAGCAGGTCTCGATATTTATGCGTTTATGAGATTGCTGGCGGGATTGTCAGAAAAAGGGAAGATTTATTTTTTTTCCCTTTCTCTTTTTTCTGTACAATCTCTTGCCTTCAGAAACCATTAATGCCCATTCAACATCAACATCAAGGCGCAGCTTTGATGTCTATTCTGGCAACACTCCTCTTTCTTTCCTCCGCTGCCTGCTGTTTTCTCGCACTATCTCTCTCCCCCTTTCCCTACTCTATCCCCTCGCTCGCCCTTTTACGGTTTACTGTACAGTCGAATAATTAAACGGATTGTCAACGAAATCATTTTACCTGGCAATTAAAAATGCTAAGTGGGTCGGGGAAGCGCACTATGAGACGGAGATTATAAAAAAGCTTAAAATCTACAAAGGCTTTGGTGGCACAATAGACCTCAGTGTGCTTAGTGCAGTAGCTTAGCCTGGGGAGTGCCTCTTTAGACTAAATGTATACTGTATATACATCCATGTTTACAATTGGCCAGACCATGCAACATCTATTACTACATAGTAAAGGGAATGATCTGCTGTTTGAAGTATTGACAACAAAGGTACATATAGAAGGCAATGATTGACTGAGTATAATTAAAGAGTTAACCTATTTTACAATGTAGGCCTACTTTGATTTGGTCACAGATAGAAGGTATAGTTCAAATATGTGCACAAACTGTGAATGAAGAGAATGAGGATATTAAAGGTCTTATATTATTAAAATTTTGACTCTTGTGATCTTTAGGCCATTATTATTATATTGTTACCTCCCCCAAAACATACCTGGAGTTGTGTTTTTTTCATTCACACATGTTTGAGCAGTCTTTCTACATCTCCAAAGCTCAAAATGCTCTGTTCCACCTTGTGATGTCATGAAACAGTAGTTTTCAAGTTCACAACTCCTTTTACCTTTTGTTTGGTAGAGATTGGCAAATAGGGGTTGAACTGATCAAAATGATCCTAGTGGAGGTGTATGGAGTATAATATCACCAGATGGAACAGTGCTTTCCATTTGAGAGTCTAAATATGCAGGGTTTGTGTGTTAAACATGTGTGAAAGAAACAAAACACAACTCCCGGTTTGTTATGAGGAAACAACATAATAACATAAATCAGAAAATTGTGCAATATGGACCCTTTAAATACTAATACAAATTACATATTAGAAAGATCACTATTGGAAGACAGAGGTAAATTACTACTACTACTATTACAACAGATTTCAAGGGTTTTAATTCATTCCGCACCTACTTCTTCTAGTGGACCTACAGGAATAAACATAAAACAACCTTAAATGCACAAATGTGTTACTATGTTGTTTATAACACAATCCTGGATCAAGTGTTTGAAACTGAAAAATATTCAAGCAAATAAAGTACGTTTACTACAACCATCGTGATATGTTCACCTATTTTATTGTTTCAAAATACATGTGTACATGTATGATCTAATTGTGAGTAAGTACAGAGAAATGGTGTAGAGAGAGAGGGCAGGTGAGAACTGACATTTTCTGAGCACTTGAATCCAAGACAATCAAACATGAATCAAAATCAAAACACAACTTTGACTTAGCTAATCACAAAGTCTAACACTGTTAATGCACTAGTCGTTGTGTTCCAGATAGGAACTGTACATGGGGGAATTTTCTGCTCCATCGACTCCAGTTTCCTATTGACTTCACACTGAAAATTGTCACCGTTCTCTGTAACTGCCTCTCTGAGCCTCGTCATTTTGGTCTTAAAATGTTCATTTTGGTCTTAACCTCTACATGATCTTGGTGTTTTTATTTCAGTGTTTTGTACATAAATAAATTCCTATTCCTAATATGAAACTCGGCTCCAAATTCGTTCCTGTAACCACTTACATCATGAGCTTCATATGACTGGAGCCAAACGCTATGGGTGATGTCACGCTCCCTTAGTCTTTATACAGTCTATGGTCCAGTCCACAACCAACATCTTTTAAGTGACAATCTGCACTTGAAAGATAGTTTAAGGCTTAACAAAATGCTGCAAATATTCTTCCTTGTACAACTGTAGAGCTACACTTGCATAGACTCCTCTCGGCCTGTGTACTACCTTTTGGTGAAAATACTATAATGGAAAGAAACGTGTGCTATAGATGACATTGAAGGAACATACAGAATGTGAAGCAAAGGTGTGCCAAAGAAATCAAAGTGACTGAGCTCAAATGTTCCCTATTGATACTATGACGGTGTAAAGGGCGTCTTGTGGTTCGAATTAAAATTTAGGTTCAAGCATAAAATGGAAGTCAAGTTTCCGTGAAGGCCGGAACTTTAGAAGCTGTCCAACAAAGCACCTTTTAGGACAGGAATGCCTCAGAAAGAGTCAGAGGAAGAGAGGGAGAGAGAAGAGAGAAGAGGGAGAGAGAGACAGAGAGGGAGAGATAAAGAGAGAGGACGAAGAGAGGGAGGGATGGAGACAAGGGGAGAAAGTAGAATGGGTAGAAACAATGAAGAGGTAGAGGGAGAGGAGATGGACGAGAGAGGAGGGAGAAAGGAGAAAGAGAGAAAGAATGAAGAGAGAGAGAAGATGGAGAAATTAGAAAAGACAGACAAAGAAAGAGACAGAAGAGAAAGAAAAGAGAAAGAAAGCGTGAGAGAACGCAGAGGAAGAAAAGAGCCATAAAGAGAGAGAAAAAAGAGAAAGAAAAGAGATAGAAAGAGAGAGAAGAGTAAGAAAAGAAAGAAAGAGAGAGAGAGAGAGTGAGAAACAGAAAGGATAGAAGACCTAAAGAGAGTAAGAAAAGATGGAAAAAGAGACAGAGAGGGGGAGGGAACAAGACAGAGAATGAAGAATGTTAGAAAAGAGACAGAAAGAAAGAGGGACAGAGAGAGAAAGGATAGAAGAGAGAGAAAGAAAAGTAAGAAAAGATGGAAAAAGAGACAGAGAGAGAAATGAAACAAGGGAGAGAAAAAGAGACAAAGAGAAAGAGAGACAAAGAGAGAAAGAAAAGTAAGAAAAGATGGAAACAGAGACATAGAGAGAAAGGGAACAAGGAAGAAGAGTAAGAAAAGATATATGAGAAAGAAAGAGGACAGAGGAACAAGTTGAGGACTTTTCAGTTTAGGGAATGCAACGGTCAATGTCCATCCATCAGCGCTTCAGTGGGGAAAAATGCAAGCAATTTTCCTGGATAGGTTTCTCTTCAAAGTGTGAGCCCTGAGAGGCAGTAAAAATAGAGCGGGCAGGTGGTGCAGGGGTGGAGAGCAGTGATGGTGGGGTTGGGGGTATATAGTGAGCTACACCTGCCCCACTCCGGAGCTGGTTGGGGCAGATTACAGCGGCTCATTGTGCAGCTAAAGGCGTGAGTAGATGGCTGTTAGGGTTTGGGAGAAGCCAATGCATTGATCATGTTTTGAAGTTTGGACCACGCTGAGCCTTTTATACCAAACTCAGGGGAAAGAAGACCACTGCGGTGATGAAATACAAACAGAACGATCCACACGTACCACAGCTCCGTGCCACGGTCTATAGTCAGTTTTTGGAAGTTTTGACTTGTATATTAGACTAATGGGGAGATCTTTTTTTTTTTTTTTTTTCATTAAGCACAAAGTTGAAATTAAGATCCAAGACAAAGTTGTGTGTTATTGGTAACTCCATTTGTAGCTTCTACACTGAATCTCAAAACCTAAAGAGCCCCTCCATGTGTAAAGAATACAGATTATACTAGAAGCGTGGATCATTTTATCAGCTATCACTTGTTGATGGGGCAATTGCACTACTGTACTAAGAACAAGTCCAGTTTGGTCCTTGATAATAAAGCTCTATCTGCTAAAACTCATTGACTGTATATCAGTGCCATACATTGGTTATAGCTTTCATTAGTAGTTATGTGTTTTTGCTGAGATAAAGCAATTGTAGGTATACTTTTAGATCAGTCTGGTCATTGCTCATCACATATTAAATTATCTTGATTTATAGAAAAAACTTGAGACACAGAAATATGAGGAAAACAGCAAACAACATAGGACAAGGCATTTCATTTGAAAAATATAAAACTTTAATAAAGGCTACATCTCTCAATAATTACAATAATTATAGGTCCATGTAAATCTTTAAATGAAACTCTTTATATAATGTATAATTTACACTTAAGATAGCATGAAATTAAAAAGGCTGTGGTGTAAAAACAAAACAAAAAACATGATTACAGGATATTATTAAAAGCATAAAAATATCTTTTAAACATAAGACCCTTCTGAAAACCAAGGGATATATATTAAACCCTGAAACAGGGTAGCACATGGTATGGTCCATGTAGGCACAGGTGCTGTAGTCCAGGACACAGACAGTTCATGTGTGCATGTACTATCACTGCAGATGCATAATTACACTGTGAACGGGCTCTGCTCAAGTTACTGTCAAACATTCAAAGGATCCAGAGCCAGAATCTTCACTTTTTGTCTTTTTGAACTTTTTGACAGACTAGCCGACTTCCTGGAGAAGTCGTTCGGAGTGACCCAAACGTTCTTGTTAGCACGAGTTATTTTGGTGTGCGGCTGTAAACACTGGCATTATTAGATGGTGGCAGGTCTCCACTCTGTGTTATCTGTGGTCATTCCCCCTGTGCAATGCCTGGTTTACCAACAAAGGCACAACAAAACTACTGGGCTGTGTGGCTGGAGGAAGAGAGTGGGAGACAAGCTTGTGTGCTAAAGTTAATGTGACCAACTATCAGCAGCATATAGGACTGGCTCTGACTGGAGAATGACAACGGGCCATGTACAGGCCGTTAGTTTGGGTCACGCTGGGCTAAAAGGCTATGGGAGGTGCTAGGCTAGTGTCATGTCCTTTGAAAAACTAAAGTCAAAATAAACTAAATATCACCACAGTATTCTCCCAACATTCAAAGCAGCTTGCCCATTGGCTGGAGAGGGGGAGGGGAACACAGGTTTACAAACAATTAGAAGGGACAGGGGTTTTCAATAAATACTTAATAAAAACTTTCAACTTATGACAAAGCATCAATATATAATACATGTATATATACATATATGCAAGTATGTATATGCACACGTACAAAGTTGGAGTGTTAAGAGCAGGTTGGTGCGCCGTCGTAAGCGCTCTCTGGCGCATTAGACCACAGTCTCATCAACAGTCTTCAGTGGTTATTCTCAGGAGGCGGGGCTTCTCCCAGTGCCCTCCAATCATCATCCTTAATCAAGTCCTTCCTCCTTGTTTCTAAGGCTGATTGGTTGAGAAAGTCAGAGAGGGGTATTGGTCCCTCTGGGTTTCGGCATACTTCATTGGCTCGTCTTCCTTCACACACTCCTCTTGTGCTGGATATATTAACTCTGTTTAGCTTAATATTAAGAAATAAAAACGTTCCGAGTGTTTAGAGTCTCTTGGTCGTCTCATAGCTTTCGGTCGGACAGTTCTGGTGGATGGCCCTAGTCCATCCTCTCCACTTTGCCCAGGACCTTGCCCTCATACATGGGCAGCACCGCACCGTCCTCCCACACCTCCTCGAACACGGCTCCGCACTCAAACTCGTCACTCGCCTTTTTAAAGTAGTACCTGCCCAGAGGAAACAAAAATGCATCATGATTAGAAAAACTGTCCAGATATAGTTTGTCTCCTACACCACTTTAGTGTGCCATAAATGGAACTGACTCAAAACACTTAGTCACGGCGTTCAATGCCATCCCTCACACATCAAAAGCACAGGGTGTCTCCCAACCACAACACTGCACAAACCCAGTGTTTAAAGGGGTACTATGTAACATTTTCGCGACTTGCTTGTCTCTGTGGAGATGTCATTGCTCTGCCTGGAATGTTCCACATGCAGTATAGAATTAAACTTATCCATGTCACATTCGATTACAGGTGTTTATATTGCTAAAATTACCATGGAAAAATGCATTCTTTACTGTGAGTGGGGCTGCCTCTCCACAGATTTCACCTCAGTCAAGGAGCAGTTTAATGTCATACTCAGGAACATTTCTAGCAAAGCAATAACATTTCAGTGAAGACAAACAGGTGGCAAACCCTACACCAGAAAAGTTACATAGTGCACCTTTAAAGAGAAAACAACCTGTGCATTCCTCTTTCTCTCTCTCTCCCTTGCATCCCATCCCTGTCTGTCCCGCAAGCTCCTATTTAAAGTGAAGGGTTAATTAGAGGTTGTCTTAAGGTCTCCGTCTCCTCAGCAGCGCCCCCTCCCTCACCACTGCTCTTGTCTATAGTTTCTAATTGGGCAGCCTGTCAAATGAAGGGCCTTTTTGTCACACGCTGACATTTCAGGTGCCTGGGAGTCTGACAGGGACTGCTCAAGCCTCCATAAACATATACACGCGGCCCAGACTCAAGACATAAGCCAACGCACACTTCCGCAACTTTTACGCAAACAAAAGATACAATGTGCATATGTTATTATCTTGCCTGAAATGTTACACAATGTTCCTCCCCAGAAAAGTTGCATATTTTACCTTTAAGTTTTATTTAGGGGAAAGTTTGCTTGTTTTTTGCACTTTTTGACAATGTAATATCTATATTAATGGGAGTATGGCAGCTAGGTGAAAAAAAAATTATAATCTGTATCTTTTTCTAATGAAATCAAGCTAAAAATGAATACACCATGTTTAAAGCTATATATAAAATGTGTATTATGACTATTGGGGTATTGTCTTAAGCCTGGACTTGGTGATGCCTGAGGAGCTTTCACTGTGCTGGGAGGGGAGGCGGTCTTGACTTTTGGGCTGCTCAGACTGTCTCCTATGAGGTCAGGGGTCACACGCTGGCCCACTCTCTCCTTCTCTCTTTCTCAGCTCAGATAACTCTGGAGGTGACTGGCTTGTCCCCCCGCAGCTCCTAATGATTACTCCTGTGTACTTTAAATCCAGCAAAAGATCAGCAGGAGGTGACTTAATGATAAGCTTTGTAATGGAAAAAGGCCTTGTTTTAGTCCGCCTCGATACAAGAAAGAAAGAGAGAGAGAAAATGTGATGGCCCGTTTTGCTAGCGTCTCCATTTAGATTCATTCAAGTATTTTAACAGATCTTTTTTTTTTTTTTGCTGATTGTAAATTGGCAAATAAAGAAACACAAAAGGACAGTGTGACTATGTTGACTACGGTAATTTTGTAACTCTCAAAAGTTATCATTTCATTGAGGTTGTGTATCTAATCAAATTTTAGTCCAAATTTGGTGATTTCTAATGACTAATTGAGTCTGGAGTCTAGACTCTAGACTCTATCCTTTGCCAGTAAAAGCATGTGGTTTGGAGCAGAGTTCACAAGAAATCTGGCTATTTTTGTATAACATTATAATGATTAAAAGTCTGTATTGTTTATGTTTAGGAAGCCATTTTTATTTGTTATTAATATGAGAAAAATCACGATTGAAATATTGTGTTTATTTTTTATTTTTTTGTCATATTGCCTAGCCCATATTTTATTTCAGAAAGAACATAAAAGATACAGAGGAGCATTTTAACTGGCATGTGGTGATCATTCGCTTTTTGTAACATGTGGCACTAATATGGTTTGGCAGAGCTGAGTTGTACTGTTCTGTTTTGTACCATTGCCATCTCCAAGCTAATGAACTCCACATATTCGGATCCCCTCTCCCACTCTTCTCCCTCCTCTTTCTCTCTCTTTCAGCTTTTTTTTGGTGGCATTTTATCTTTTCTAAACAACCAGATGTTCTACTCTGGTGTCGAGACCATGCAACATTTGAGTCCCACAACATATGGCATCAGTAGGAAATGTAGTTGAGTAGTGTGAATAACTATACAAATGTACAGCTTTTTTCTTTTTATCAAAACCCAGCCACTAATTAAAACTAAAACTAGTATCAAAACTAGTGGTGCTGGGTATCAAGCCTTTCCCTTAGTATGAAAAGAGAGTTTGATTTGACACAATTTCTGTTATAAAAAATGGGATTCTGTTCTCAATTTTGGCCTCACAATTGTGTATTCATTTTAATAAATATTTTTGTATCTCATTCTAACACTGCTTTTTGAAACTATGAGTTACGTGTGCTCGTGTGTGCACGATCTTGTGATAATTTTGTCTTGCAAGATCATGAGGCAAGAGATCTTGTCCCATCCCTAATGCAAACTAAAATACAAAGGTTCAAGCAATGCAGTCCTTGAAATCCTCTGTATTGTAGCAAAATGTATATCCGTCATTAGGAGTACAAAGTACTTGCAGATTTAGATTTTAATACCTGATGCAATCGTGTGGAGGAGGCCTCAGAACAGCCCAGCAACAGTCTTTGTGCACTAAATAAAATGGCCCAAGCTTCAAAGCACATTTATTAAGGCTGCCTTACCATGAAAATCAGTACCAGATGTGAGCAAAATCCACTTCCCCCTCCTCTTTCTCCCTCTCTACAATGACTAGTTTAATACAGCCACAGCATTCATCCCGCATACTGTATAAAATAAACATGTTCATGGATATTTACCGGTAGTTGCCTTTCTTGCTAAGTTGCTCTTTAAAGTGTCCAAGTGTGAGGCAGTGAGTCTTCAGCATGCTTCGATAAGGGATCTCCTCGCCGCAGAAGAAGTAAGTGACCACAAGCTCTTTTGACCTGGAAACACAATTAGAATGATTTTATGAGGATTTTAAGGTGACTAATACCTAACACATACTTCATATTAAAAGCATACAAACACCTAGACTAAAGAACTAAAATGTAAAGAATGCATTCAGAAAGGGAGGAATAGCTGTAAAAATCATGTACAGCAGTTTTAATGTGAGAGCCCCCAATAGAAGACCTTATGAAAGGTTTGACTACAGCAATACCCGAGCTGCGGCATTTACCAGGGGGTACTGTGTATAACTTAGTGGTTTCCAGCCATGTATGTGTATGTGTATCTGGGTGTATGTGTGTGTGTGCGGGGAAAAGGGTGAGTAGTTAGCATTCAGCATTAAAGCATCTTAAATGATTAAAAAAGCGAAGAGTTCAAAGCCATTGCTATGCTGACTCACAACATCTTTGGAGAGGAAAATCTGAGAGGAAAACTACAAGAGTGGCTAGTGCAGAAGGGGCCAGGATGAAGAAATAGTCTGTACACATGTTGGATCTAGAGGACGTTTTAAAAGGGCCATACTCGTCTGGTTGGAGTCCAGGGCTGGTTAGTGAGCTGCCTCCAGAAGAAAGCGATGCTGTGGGGTGACTTCTCTCTCTCTGAAGGCTGTTGGCTCCAGTTGAATGCCTATCAAATGAATAAAATAATGATTTATCTGCTATTCTAAACCAATGAAAAATATAGAATTGTTGAGAAGTGTGCATAAATCTTGGTGTACCTTTGTTTGGGGGGTTTAGAGACCTCTTCTAGCCTGCGACAGGCCTCCTCCAGCTGGGCAAGGGTGTTGGGCGGGGGCAGGGGAGGCATGGTGGGGTCCTGGATGAAGGGGTGTCCCGGGTGGTGGCCACGCAGGTGTGCCCCGCTGCCAATCCCGCCTCCACCCCAGGAGGTGTGGGTCCGGCCAGGTAGTGTCTTCAGGCCTTGAGTGCTGTTAAAGTAAAGGTAAGTAAGGTTACTCTCTATAACAGTGATATACGACATAGATATGGTGCAGAGGAGAGGCTGTACCTGTGTGGTTTGTGCTTGCCCTGCCTCTCACTCTCCAGGATCCACTGCCACACGTTTTGGGAGCGATCTGTGACGTCAAGAGGAAGGTGCGGTGGGGATAGGGGGTCTTCTGTGGCCTTGAGCGGCCGCTTGGACAAAGTGCTGCAGCGCCTGAAATGCAACAAGATTCTGATGAGACTTTGGACATTTGGTAGGTCAGTTATTATCAGAAAATATCAACTCTGGCCACTTACGCAGGGGTGTAGTCGGAGTAGTTGGCGCCCCCTGGAGGGCAGAGGCACTGCACGCGCTGAGCTGCCTCAGCCTCTATCTGCTCCTTGGTCTTGGCCGCAGCGTGGTGGTGGTGGATATAGTGGTGGTGGATGTGCTTGGTGGACTGCCGGCCTGCCGGGTGGAGCTTGGGAGTCCCGGGGTAAGCGCTGAAGAAAGAGCCTGTCCCAGACGAGGGAGTCCGATCTGGGGAGTGGGAGCGGGGAGAGTGGCGGACCACACCGGGCGACTGGCAGCCGGGGGTCTTGAGGACACGAGACAGGTGCTCGTCCAGGATGGCCTGAGGGTCCTCCTCCTGACAGTGAGGGGGCAACAGAGGATGGTGCATGGCAGTACTGTTGGAGAGGTCCCCGCTCTCCTCTCTCTCTTCCTCCTAAGACAAACCACATTGTGGTCAATGGACACATTAGAGCAGTCACAGAGAAACAGGCACAAACTGAAGAATTTATGTCTCAACTTAAACTACTATCTCCCTCTGAAGTGCACTGGAGCCAACGCTGGGTAACATGATTTGTGCGTTTCTTTTTGCTGTAGTTATCTTGGCTAACAGGCTTTGGGTGCGCTTCATCTATAATGCAGAGTGTGCCTGTGCTTCACAAGGAGACTGGCACTACACATATTCAGCAAACGTGCCACTGGAGAGCTGCTAAGTGCTAACTATTTGAAGCTACTTCAAGTGTGTCTAGAAGCATAAGTTGAAATGTTCCCACACATGAAATGGAAGCGGACACAGAAGTAACCAAGCCAAGCCTTTACATTTCTTTTGCCTTTTCTTGCAAATGTGAAAGCTGCCATGAAAGCTTTTGTAGTGCACTACAGACCCTTGTCCCAAGCTAACTTAGCTTCCAACAGAAGCTTAACAGAGTTGTATTCAAAGGACAAAGTTGTTTGGGAGTTAGTACCTCTTGGATCAGCTGTAGCCGCTCCTCCAGCGAGCTCATAGTGTCCTGCTCTCGCTTCAGCTTCTCCAGCCTCGTGATAAGCAGCGCGGCAAAGGCCGAGGGCTCCACGGGTGCCATCTCTTTGGGCAGTCTGTGCGTCCGCTGTTTGGGAGACAGAGTTTTTCTTTAGTGTTTGTGACAGATGCAGTATGCTACGTTAATCCACTGTCCCAGTCCTAATCTTGTTCCAAAAGCCTGCATCTCCTCCAAAGGCCTAATCCAGATGCCCTTGCCCTGTGGCTAACCTGCGCCCTCTCGCCCGCCTGTCCTGCCCCAGATCATATCGTGCCCAGTGCCCTTGGCAGTGCCAGGCTGTGGGCGAGGGGAGAGAAAAGGGGTAGTGGTGCTGGGGTAGCAGTTGGTCTCGCTCGGAGGGGAGGCCCCCTGCCTGCACCCTCTGTAGCCCAACCAAGCCATCAGCTCTGCAGCCTCTGAAGTCAGCACACTTCAAAGGGCCCTTGTCAAACATCAAACGCACACTAGGGGTGGGAGGGACACGCAGCTTTAAATCTCCGAATAAAAGCCAGATATCGACAGCGAGGAGCGAGTGAGGAGAGGGGGAGAAAGCGAGAGGGGGACAAAATTAACAGCATGAAAAAAAGAGGAAGAGGATTGAGATGTGCATTTGTGAAGTGGCAGTGGTGGCGCAGACAGAGGAGGAGGGAGGGAGAGGATAGAAGAGTCAAATACTGGGAAGATCTGAGGAGAAGTAGTAATTTAGTTCTGACTGCATGCGGGGCAGCTCAGAGGTACTCTGCTCACTTTATCTGGCTTTTCTTTAACTATATGCGCCGCTTCTCCCTCTCTCACTTTTGTTATTTGGCACACTGGCTTTCTTGATTTTGACTCTTTTTTTGTTGTTCCTCTCATCTCTTTGTAGACATGATAAAGGGAAGAAGAAGAAAGGCGAGCGGAGCTGCTGGCAAAGGAGCGGCAGCCCTGCACGGGGCCCCGCTGCCTGGGGCTCTGCATCAGGGGAGACAGAGCCATCTCCAAATCAGGAGGGAGACATTAAACAGAGCAAGTGGGAGAGGAAGAGACACAGGAATGAGAGCAGAGCCGAACAGACAACACCATCACAAACACACACAAACACACACACATTGGGTTTACATGCTTTTTGGGACATTACATTGACTTACAGTCATTTTCTGGAGACTGATCCTAACTTAAACCATTATTGCAACTTGTTAAACCTTAACCCTAAACTTTGACTATTTTAAGATGTATCTTAACTTTAAACCATATTTTTGATCTAATAATTAAGACATTATGGAGATCTGATTTGCGTCCCCTAAGGGAGACCTGTAGTGAGTGTGTAGTGATGTTAGTCCCTCCAATGTGATAAACACCTGCACAAATGCTACCTGTGTTTGAATAGACAAAACCACTGTCTGTTTTTGCCTAAGAACCTGCAGCTGTACCAGACCTAAGCACTGTTACCAGGACCAAGGTACTCTGAATTCAGAAAAAGTAATATAACAAATATTGCATAGAGATGTCTTATTCTGCTGATGGAGTTGAAAAGTTGAAAAGTTACAGTAAACTTGTGAAATGTGACTGAAGAGCAAACTAAACTAGAGGGTAATATAATCCAGTACTTAATGGCTACTTTCTAATCACTTACCCAGTCAAACAACAGTGTCAAGATCAAATACTCAGAACACACTTAAGTAAATATCATGTAAATATAATATCAATACAATATCAAAACTCACTACGTTGGCCTAACTAATGAGCGTAATTAACCGCATCAAAACCATATCTTATCAATGTTGCTTCACACATACCACACTTTCACACCAGAGGCAATACAAAGATGCCTGCAGTGGTTTATATTTACAGCTCACAGAAACAGTAGGAGGGAGGGAGAGAGAGAAGGGAAAGGGGGGTTGACTCAAAACAGCAGAAGTGCAAGTGAAGTTGTATGCAAATCCTCTCCTTTCATTTACGCGGGCTTTTATATGAAAACGAGCAGGAGTGAAATATAGTATTCTGTCACAACATTCGCTCTGAAAATAATATAATAATAAAATAAGTCAGCTTCCTCGGGGGAATCAGGACCCAGTTGTCTGTCAGCGGGTAAAAGTTTGGAGCAGATTACAAAAAAGGAAAAAGAGGAAGTCGAAGTTACAAAGGAGAATGCTTACAGGAAAGTGTGGGAGAGAAACTTGGCCATTGATCTTGAGGTTGCGATGGATTTCTCGCTGGAGTTGCTTCTTGGTGCCCAGTTTGTACGGAGGAATCCCATCTCTGAAACAACAAACATTGAAAATCTGATTAGTTATTGGCAACAAAAACTAACCCAGACATCTAAGCATGGACACAATTTACATGTCAACGCTAATGAATGATCACTTTCAATCAAAGGAGAAGGGGGAGTCCATTTAGCTGTGAAGTGACCAGTGCAACAAAAGCGCTAACCACCCACTAGGTCCATTACAAGTGAATGAAAAGGCAGAGAAGCCCTTGAAGCCAGCCACATAACAAAACACGGCAGGACAATGTGCAGATATGTTAAACTGTGGGCCCCTCTCATAAGATAACATCACTCCCCGTTAGCCCTTTTATAATAAATGAAAACAGTGGAAGCGAATACAAGCTTAATAGTCTCGGGACAATTATGCGTTTATTCCGGGCACATTATTCTCCGTTTTTCCTTCTGTCTCTGCGAGCTTTTCCAGTCAGCTGCCATTTAAGCTGGGCCAATTATCGTGGCCATTTTGGAGGCTCAGAAGTGTCTGACCTAGCCCAAACGCTACTTTTTCTGCTGCCTCTTTGAAATCTCACACTCATGCACATATGCACCCTCTGCCATCTTCGTTTGGCAAGCGCTCTGCTGTGCGCCTCTGATCTCGGCAACATCAAAAGGCTGGTTTGTAAGATAAGGTAATGTTTGAAGTTGGTGCAGCAGCATTCCCCAGTGTCCAAGTAAATCCATAAATAAGATATAAGCAAAAAGAGAGCCCCCGCCCCCTTCTGCTACCCCTCTTCCCAAATCCTCTGCCTCTTGTTTTTTATCTGCGGGATGAGATTCAAATGCGCGCTGTGTCTTTAAACTGCAATGACACAATATTCAAACTGTTCCTTACAATTGAAATGTTTTGTATCAATATCAGTTAGAGGACGAGAAGATAGATCAGTGCTTTTGAAAGCTTTGTAGTAAACCATTAAAAACAATGACTTTGGCTCACAATGGGGACATTTTTATCATTATCCCAAAGCATGCCGTACACGCCGCATGTAAGAGTGACCATCACAACTACAATCTGCACAGTTGAGGTTCGGACAGACTCGGACCACCAAAACAACGGTACCCTCGAGACAACAGGTCATCCTCCCTCACGGTTCAGGAAGAAACACAGGAAACTCTTCAAAAGTGTAGCCTCAACAGCCCACAGGAACTTTAGTGCTAACAACCAAAACTTGGCTCCCAAACATCATTCCCAACAACCCAAGCCAAACTCCATTTTTTGTCAATCTGAAGTTTCCCTGTATACTCTGAGCCATGTGACTGCTGGATGTTTGTTTGGGGCAGGTTGGAGAAGAGGGGCCCTTTACTTTTTTAGGGGAATCTCCTATTCAGTTGTGCAAGTCATTTTCAAAGCAGCCAGCCACCCTCTTATCCCCCTAAGCTCCCCTCACCTAACAATAGGCTGAAAGCGATTCAGTTAAGCCCTTTATACTCCATGCACTTTATTTTCTCACTCCCCTGCTCTGTGCGCCTCACCTCTCCCAGTTTGGGCTCTAAAGGGTGCAGCGGAGAGCCAGGATGGGGTAGGTGAGTTTTTGGGTGAGGGGTAGTTCCTCTCTACTGGTCCTAAAGTTCTAGAAAGCGTAACCTGTGTGAACGCTCAGTAGACACATGATCTCAGCATGCCGCGAGGCCAGTGGCAGGAAACTGAGGCACCATGTGAGTAAGCTTGCTTTCATTTGCTGCCAACTTTTTTCAATGAGTTTGTCTTGAGGCTTGAATGGTCACTTCCCTCCCCCAGCGCTCTCCTCCAGCTCTTCAAAGGGAAAAAGCGATTAGATAATATGAAAAAACAAGTCTGTTATGGCAGAAGGGTGGGTGGGATAGATACATTTCAACTTTGAGGAGAATGGCGACGCCCCACCCACATCAAGACAGTCCCAGATTTTTGCTGTCTGTAAAGTATCAGAATAAACTTCAAAAGGGCTTCAGACGTAATGACTTTGCCAGAGTTGCCCCCTTGAGGCCAAAGCAACAACTGCATGTTAATAGAATTACCTGGAGTCAATCACAGAGGCTAATTAAAATACATTACAACCATTATTTCCCAACACTTCAGTCCCAAAGCTGAGCCTGCTGCACCGCCGGGCCAAACACTTTCTCACACCTTTCAACTGGTTTCCTGGAACGCGCTGACCGAATCCAAATTTGAAAAACGCAGGGGGAAAAAAGCTTTTAATGAGACCATAAAGTTTAGTTTATAACACTTACACACTGCTATCGGTCATGGACATGGAGTCGTCCGTGGTGGCATCGCTGGAGATCTCGCTGTCATTGGCACTGGTGGCGGGGGCGAAGATGTAGCCAGAGTTGACAAAGTAAGGGCTGGCAGGGTCCCCTCTGCGACTGGACCTGACCAAAAACAATCAAGATTAATGTGGACATATTTCAATACTTTGAGCAAGTTTCTAGTTGTATGTTTTTCATTCAGATTAGATTGTGGACAAGTTTACGTTTCCTTCTAATCATTTTGTTTTGATTTCTATTAAAGAAATCCATTTGTGTGTCAGCTGAATCTTAGTTTAGTTTCTTGGTATTCCTGTGTTTCAGCTTCCTGTTGTATTTGACACTTTGAGGGGAGGGCTTGTCTCCATTCAAAAGATGTAATATTTAGATTTAATTCTTAATCGCTATGACAACTGCCCTAAATTTTTAATATTCTGTTACCAGAGGGTAGTAAAAGCAATGGTTGGGAGCAAAACAAGTTTATGACATGTCAGTGCTGTTATGGCTTTGCTTTTAGGGTCACGTGTTTTTATTATATGGTATCTGAGCTACTTTTCCAAATGTAAATAATTACCTAAACCTAAACAAACCAACGCCAGTTTCATTTATACTGTGTTTTTCTACTTCTACTGCTGTCAGTAGTATTTATTGTTGTATTTTCCCGTGCCTATCTCTCTTTTACTATCAGCCGGTCTAGGGGCCTCTCTTTCCCTACCAGCTCTCTCTCTCTCCTGCTGTGTTGCATTCCTGTTGTACTCGTGAAGGGGGAACTTGAGCTTTGGAGAGGAGCGAGAGAGAGAGAAAGCGAGGGAGGGACAGAGAGAGAGAGACAGAGAGAGAGGGAAAGAGAGAGAGTGACAGAGAGTAAGAGACAGAGAGAGAAAAGGGGAAGGAGGGCCTCTTTCTTTATGAGAATGCCTTCTGCCGAGAGGAGAACCCAGCATGACTAAAGCCCAGGCCCCAAGCACAAACCTGACCTTTGGAAGCTCCATGCAAAGAGTCAGGTATTTAGCACAGCTGGGCTCTTCTGCGCACCCCCACTAACTCTCTCTCTCTCGCTCTTCATCTCTTTTCTTTTCTTCTACCAGATCCCCCCTTCCTGTCTATCCCCTCCTCTAGTCTCCCTCCAAAAAGCAGCCAGTCGAGAAGAAGGAAGTAACAGGAACAAACTCTGAAGTAGAAAAAAAAGTAGAATCTACAGCTGGAGTTGTTTTGTTTTTTGGAGAAACTTTAAGAAGAAGAAGAGGTCTGCAGTGGTGAAATTAGTTCCACATGTTTGAAATGGAAATTGGTTGACCTAAAGAGATGGTGAGGGGCAGCGGGGAGAGAGAGGGGAGGGCGGGGGTTCGGTCTTTTGAGTGAAAAACAAGAAACCAGGAGATGTGCACATGCCAAATCCCCAGTGCTCAGTGGTGGCTTTGCTTGACATGGCTGCGTTTGTGCAAATCAATAATTGTACAGTGACATGTGCCCTGCGATAAACTCTCCCAGTAGACTTGCATTTAAGTTGAATTATTACACTGCCTTTCCTTCCTGTTCAAAAGGTTATAACTGATCTGCCGTCTTTATAAATGTTTAGTTAACCTAAAAGGAAACTTACTCTAAATTGTACTTTTCCTCCCAACAGCAAAGTAGAAAGACTTTGTCAGCGCTCGCTCCCTCTCTGTAATAATTGTGACCAGATGTGCAGACAAAGTAGTTAAAACTCTCTGCGAGTCCTTTGATGCGGCCGGCGCATAAAATCCTATTTTTGCGAATGTTCTTGGCTTGAAAAGATTTCAGCTGTTGGACAATGTGTGGGACGAGCGCTTAAGATAAAAGCCCAAATGCTTTCCACAAACAGCTCGGCTTTCATCTCCGACCAAGAGAACAATATCTGCGCTTGGCATGAGACCCGCCGCTCAAGTTGTTTTAACTTTGTATTAGCATTCCTTGGAGTATAGGAGATTTTCCGACAGTGGATAACAACAATATGCTTAATCAATAGGATAAAGAGCAGACAGACTTACAATAGACTGGTAGTGTTTTGTGTTAGCAGTGGTGAGGATTGGTGTCTGTATTCATGCCTGAACCGGAGGAAGGGTTTCAAAGCACAGGAAACTTGAGCAAGCCAGCAGAGGGCTGCCTTCAAGACACCGTTTACTTAAAAGGAAGGCTCAGATCCATTGATGTTTTGTAGCCCGCCCGCCCCTCCACCCCTCCAAACCCTTGACTAACTGCAAGGCAGGAGGGCACAAATATACAGGCATGCTCCTCCGAGACCCTTTGATCAGCTGCCTTTATCTTTCTCTTAGGCATTTGTTAAATAACCTGCCACAAATCCACCACACTGGACCAATGTGAGAATTCATGCAGCAGCAACAGACATACTCACAAATAGGAGGTTGATACAAACTTTTCTAACTTAGTTTGCCTACTCTTTTAGCCCCTTCTCCCTTTGATAAATACGTTATTACTACAAACTAGTTGCACTTTAATTGAGTTAGTATGTTTTGACAAGTACAGTGTAACTTAATATGCCTTTGACTTGTCTTACCTGCAATTATTCTGCAGCACATCAGCCGCTGTCCGGAGCGTTGCAGTAGCCCTCAGGTTTTTTGAAGAGAGTCCAACTACAGTCCCTAGTGTCTTTGCCTTCAGGTCACTGCAGCTCCACTCTTCTTCCTCAATAAGGGGAGGAAGATATCCGCACATCAGTTTCAGACTGCCCAGACCGCTGTGGTTGACGTACGCTGCGTTCTCACAGCCTGCGCGCACGTACTCGAGGTATATGTCAGAGGTGAGAAACATCTGGTACGAGTTCTCCTCCATGTTGGACTGGATCTCCGTCTGTGCCTGGTCAAACATGGAGGAGTCGATCTGCTGTTTCTTAATACTATCCCTTATGAACGTCTTAGTGGCCGGTTTGAGCTGCTTAGCGACTATACTGTTGTTCTCAATGTACCGCTTGAAAATAACTTTGGCAACTCGTAACGTTTTGGTATCCTTTAAGTCCATTTGCCTGAAGCCGTTACAGGCAAACCAAAAGTCCAGAGTGTCCACGCAGTTCTCCCGCTCCAAAAAGGTCCTGAAAAGGTGAGCACCGTCTCGATCCCCCAGAAGAAAATGCAGAGACTTTGTCCACCGGACTAAGGGCGAGTCCGGAGACGCACTGCCCTCTGGTTCCCCGAGTCCATCCTCGTTCCTCCGCGGCGTGGAGCCAGGAGTGGGGATGTCTTTAACCTTGCTCTGGGCTCTCATTTTGCGGCTTGGGTTGTAGCATGGCGCCTCTCCCTCCTCGCCCGGTACCGGAGGACGAGGGGCATCTTCTCGGAAGCTCGTGTGGATGTGCTCCGTTAGCGCCCTGCTCATGGCTCTAGCTCCGGTTGGCGAGTGAGAGTGCCGTCGTGCCTCCTCTGAGCTCCAGCCTAATCCTCCTCACTCTCTAAAAGCAGCGGGGGAGCTTCTCAGCTCCTCTTCACTCTGAAACACAAAGTATTGATCTAATCAAAGCCAGATCCTGCTGAACTTCAAAGAAAGACATCAAGTAAACAGTCCCTTTCAAAACCCTCGCAGGGTTCAGAGAAAGGAAATATGAAAGCCTTTTTCGTTTCATTTATCTATTTATAATCTAAATGAGAGATCAACTGCAGCCTACATTCTCTGCGTGCATTGATCTGTCACATCACAACAGATTTTTACAAGAATAATCAACGCACAGACGCGCATTTCTCTTTAAAACCTCACAACTGTGGCTTACACGTGTTTTCCTAACGAGCCCATGTCACAGGCTTCAACTCCAATTAATTCCCAATCTGTTTCGGACGCACCCGCCACTGTAAATGTGCACCAGTCTGTCTCACCTACACGTCTGCACTGTTCCACACTTGTCCCACTGCCCCACAGCTCAGCGCTGTATCTGATGTGCTCCACAATGACCTTAAACGATGTAATATGCGAGCGGTTAAAAGCCCAGAGGGAGAGAAGCACAAGCGCTTATGCGTAATGTAAGCGACCAATCGACTCCAAAAGGCTGTAATAGCCCATTAGAGCGGCATTAGCGAAGCCAAACGCGTGTTAACCTGTTTTAACTTCCACCAGAGACAATGCATTAGCACTAAATCATCAGATGTGCAAAAAACTACATGTTATTTGAAATAGAACACAGAGTTATTAGAGGTTGAAACGTCTCCCCAACATACGCACGGGTTTAGCGAGTATTGGAACTGTAAAACTTGTAAATAATTCACATAGCCACTAAAACTGGTAATAGTTGTCACACATACCATTGCAGAAGGCTTTAGTAGAGGAGAAATCCGTAAAAAGTCCAACTAATATAATCCACAACCGCGCAAAACTCGCAGAGGTTTTAGTCCAGCGCGAACACTACACTAAAGGCGACTCAGACTCCGAGCAGTGCTGCCACATGTGTCCCGCGCCAGGACAAAACAGACACTGTAGTTTAATGTACCCTGTCCCATTCAACACTGACCTCAGAGTAGGCAGGCTCAGTGCTATGTAGATCACTGGGGGTGTCAAAATCTTGAGGAGTAGGGAGGGGGGACTTCGACTGTGGAATACATCCCACTTTTTCCCAGCTAGATCCGACAAATATTCGCTTTTTATCTGGTCTACACATTCACACAGGCACACACATAAGCTTCTTATCTATCTCACCGTATTTCTCGCCCACAAACAAGAAACATAGCCCGCATTTCTCAACTTCAAAGCTCAGCAGCAGCACATCAAAGCGGCCGAGAGAGGGGGTCTGAGAAACAGCTTTCCGACAACTTACCATCCATGTAGCCCAATAGCCTCCTTGATTAGAAAAGTAAAGTAGTCCACCAACAACAGGCTGCGCCAAAAACACGCTCTAGCGCACGGATCCGTCTCCAAAGATGTCAAATTTAAACATAAGTCCGTGCGTAAAAAAGGCACTATGGGTCTTTTCCTTGGCGTGTCTCGCCCGGGTTGTGTTCGGAGCAGTCGGGACAGGCGCAGGAGTCCTTCAGGCTGTTTCTCAAACCAAACCAGGCTCAAGGTTTAACTGTGGACTTCAAAGTGGAGAACCGCTGGCCTGGTCCCGGAAGATGCATAAAAAACAAAGCAGCGCGCACTCGCAACAACCGGCGAAGAAATGCGCCATAAAACGATTATAAAGCAGATAATCAGACACGTACCGCTACAGTCTACACCAGTATAAACATAGAAGTATACTCTAAGCATAATTTTATGTTTTCACGTTTTAAGCTATGAGGTTTAAACTTTTCTAGACTGAAAAAGGATTTACATGAGAGCCAGGACCTTATCAAAGACAGGCAATCTCGAGCCAACTCCCCGAGGCTTTGGAGCGTCAGAAGTAAGTGATCCTCCGCGCCAATAGCGTTATTCTACTGCGTCTGTTACTACACAAGTTTGAACATACAACAGAAAGCAAACATGCATACGCCTTTTGATTTTTCTACTGATCATTATCTTGGCCAAACCAGCCCAAGGAGGAAATGTGCCCAAATGAACCAGAAAGCTATTGTTTAAAGATTTAACCAGTAGTTTACTAAACGGAGGATGTTTCATACAACATGAATAACTTATTGTCTATGTCTAAATCAGGGCAAACTGAAATAGTTAGACAAGTGCAAAACAGACAATTTTAGGACTAAACCAGGACTATAACAACTCCTGACCCCCCTCCAATAATACTGAAACCACCAGTTCTGTAAACAAAACAGCATATACAGATGTACAACAACACACCTTTATGTAACAGATAATACTCCCTGCAACTGTACAACCACCTCATCCTTATGTAACGGATAACCATTTGTGCTGTCAATCACCATATCATTGTTGCACTGTCTTTCTATGATCTCTTGTATATAGCTGAGATTTTATATTTATTTTTCTATTTTATTTTGGCTTAGTTATCCCTTATTTGACACCTGTCTCTTGCTACCTCTTTTGCTACTTATTTAGAATGTATTATTACCTTTTATATTCTTTACTCTTTGTTATTATATTATATTGTGATGTGTGAGCTACTGCGTCCAAATAATTTCCCTTGTAGATCAATAAAGTTTGTCTAAGTCTATTTAAACTGAACCCAGGGCACAGACAGAGGTTAAAAAATAGATACTACTGAAAACCTTTTTTATTTTTCAAAAATAAGTTATAATGACATGTAGGCCATCTTTGCTGTTCATATGTCATTATGATTAAAGCAATATAAACATCAAGGTCTTCAAAGTGACAAATCACTTTATGTATATTGTACATACAAAGCTAATAAAAACGTAATATTGAAGTTATAGCCCCATTTTGATAATCCTTTTGAGTGTAACAGTCAAATCGCTTCCATATTAGTCACAGGCGTTGTGGACGTAACACAGTTGCCAGGTCCACACAGAGGGAAAATGGCACAGCATGACATTTTGATTGAAATTGGACGGAGAGCAAAGGCAAAAGCTGTTGAGCTGCAGTCTTTTAATTCACATGACTGGCCTAATGTCATTGTGACAGAATCTTAAAGAGTGGGTTAGACAGTGATCCAATCCCATGCTACTTCAAAGGCTATATTGTCCCTTTGATGTTGGAAATCAACTTTAAAGGAGAATATAATTATATAAGTCGCAGGATTCACACTCACAAAACTCTCCTGATGGAGCACGACGACGAGCTAATGGACTCCAACTTCCTCTGTGTTCTTTTAGGCACTTGAATTCACGTCAAGGCCACAAGAGGAAGTGGGCACCCTGTGTGACACGTCCCCTGGGACTTTTCTGTCACTGCTTTGTTTTAACATGAGCTCCAATGCCTCTAGACTCATTTGCACTCAAACCTTTACTGTGTGTTTATTATTATTCATTCAAATGTCATTGTGGTCTTATTATATGAACCAATGTAATCCCTCATTCATCCAGGAATGGTCCTTAGGAAAGGTACTCATCTGGACAGTTTTTGTAATTGAGACACAATGGAAGTCATTTTCATATCTGAAGGTTCTTGACTGAGAAACTGAGTTTGTGTTGCTCTGAGCCAGATTAGTCCTGCCAAAAGGGAGGAGTTATAGCCTAAAACTGCCATGTCTTTGTTTAGCCTAGTTATTATTAACATATATTATATCAAAGTATTACTGGCTGGTTGGTGGTAGCAGCAAGAAACTTTTACAGCCGCTCTGAAACATCAAAAAGCTTTATGATCCAATTCATTGGATTGTAATCAGCATGGACAAATTTAACATGTAAAATAATAGTACAGTGTTTTTTTTAAATCTGATATCAACTTCTTTAAAGCTTCCTTTGAACAGACGGAAATTTTGAAGGGCTGTAAAATGTATTTTTTGCTACTGGACAGTGGAATATGTCTCATTCAGGATAAGATTATATCAGCACTAAAATAAAATGAAACATGAAATCTGCAGACTGGCAATTCAACCCAAAGTTAGTTGGACATGTATGGACAATTATGGCAGAAAAAAAACATATAGTCATGATTATTTGGGTCATAATTAAAACCATTTCTATTACTTATTTGGGCTCTACTCAATAGCAGTTGACACATTGTAAATTTAGCTAGAAATCCCTTCCACTATATTCATGTTCTCTCTTAAACTGCAGCTTCGTTAGGGATCAAACGCTAGCCCAAGCTGTCCTTTTATGTATTTCTCTGGCAGTCCTGAGATCCTAAATCTCTCAGACCACACCTGTTGACCCCATAAGCCCAGCTAGCTCTTCAGTGTGGCTGCAACAAAGACAGAAGCTGTAAAGTAGCTAACACAAGGAGAAGGCACTTTTTGATGCTGACCCGGTCCTGACCCCTTTGTTGGGACCCTAACCGTTTCACAGGAAGATCCCAACACTTTCAAGCCACAATACAAGACAAGAGTGGTGCTGCTGACTGTTGTAAAAGACCAATAAAAGGGGTGACCCAGGGGCTAATGGAGACCTCGTGGTGGGGGGAGAAATTAAAGGCATCAGGCATATCTCTGCAGACTAAAAACTGAGCTCCCCTTTAATTAGGTATTTACATTAACAATACAGGGAAAGTGTGTGTTTGACAGGCTTTGGTACAGGTGTCAAAACATTTGTCAGGGAGGTTTTAATGAAAAAATATGTGATTACCACTGAAAAACAAGTTCAAGCAATGTGACAAAGTTGTAATGATATACAGTAGTTCACTTTGGTCTGTTTGAGTCCAGGTTAGTCCTGATGTAGACTTGGTTTGGTTCTGCTCTAGTCCTAGTTTAGTCCTGACCAAATTTGGTGATGTCTGTCTACAAAAGTGAATGTGCTCTTAAAAATCTGAAATCTGAAGTAGGCCCTTGTAACTATCACTGCTAACACTACTATAAATATTCTTACTACTACTGCTATAAGATTACTGTCTAAGGCAAAACAGCTATTACCTTTTTTATTACTTAGGAATTATTTTCTGACAAACACTATGCCAATACTGCTTACATTACAAAGTGTACAAAAGTACAAATACCGAAGCGAAAAAAAATACTCTAGTAAAAGTATCACATGAAAAAATCAACTCAGAAATATTAAGTATCTCTTAAAAATGTACTTTGATTTAAAAGTTAAAGTATTTCATATACTTTAAAGGCTTTAAATGTAGTGATTTTGATACAGATTTGTGCTGATTTTGTTCAGCAGAAGCAACTGAATTGATTTTTTCCCCTGGCTGTTTTCATTTGTATATTTTTATTTGCTCAAGCTACAGTGTTAAAAACAATCCCCCCAGCCAAAAATACTTCTACTTTACAGTCCAGTTTAAAAATGTAGTGGAGTAGAAAGTACAGATACCTGCTCTCAAATGTAGTAAAGTAAAAGTAAAAAACATCAACTTTAAAACTTTAAAATCTACTTAATTAAAGAACAGATACCTAAACTTGATCCCGAAGTACTGTCCCTCACTACTTTTACTTTATTACGTTCCACCACTGCTTAACATCAATATAACGACGTGAGTATTCAGATTATTTTCACTGCTGATAACTATAACTGTATTAGTCAAACTGATCTGTCTTTAGTTTCATGTCTTTTACATAACAACATTTGGCCTAACATCATAAGCCAACCCACAGCCTACTCCAAAAACTGCAAACAATAAATCCACTTTGTTTTCTTCCTTTTCTCCTACACTCCAAAAACCAGGGAGAGGGTGGATAATTGCAAATAACCCAATATTTGTGAGTTCAAAGGCCTGTGGTGCAGCGTTGGAGTGATCATTTTGGCTGGAGCATTACCATAAACACTAATAAAATTAAGTGCGTCGCTACGGAGGCAGGAGGGGGGCGTGGCCAGCTGTCCCTTTGAACATAGCTTGTGATCAGTGCCCCTTCTCAATTAGCGTATTGTCCACTTCTCCTTTTCAGCTGGAGGGGAGGGACCACCAACCCCCCCGCCTTCCACCCTCTCCCAGGGCCCCTTTGAAGTCATTATCCCTTTATCTCAAGCCGGAGCGAGGAATATCTTGGGGGACAATGGCAAATTAAAGCGCATATGGAGAGGAGCGTGAATGTCTGAATGTTTGTAGGCTCAGACACAAGGAGGGAAAAAAAACGCAGAAGAGTAAAATAAATAGTGTTGGGAGACAGATGAATGAAGAAGCATTGTGTGAGTGGAGAGGGACAGAGCGACGCGTCAGAGCTGATCTGAAAAGTAATTTAGAACTCGTGCCGGGTTCACACTTGTGGTGAATTGAGACTTTCAAGAGATTCCCCTACCCCTATAACTATAACACCTAGAGTCCTATTACATTTTGGTCAGTGGTAACACTTATAACTGCATTTTAATTAGCCTTAAAGAGGGGGTATTTGACTTCTACGGGGTATTAATGGCTAACACCTAACATGTTAGGTCACCACGTTACCTTTTATTGTTTTGAAAAAGCTATATTCGCCGGAAACAAAGTATTAATGTGTTTTATCAGTTTCACTTTCGTTTTTGATGCTCTGAGTACCCCGCTCTTCATGCTAAGTCACTCCCCCTTCAGAGCGTTATCACAACACAATCAGCGTGCGTGAAACGACTGTACGCGG